TGTGGTGGATTCTCACCATTCGGTGAAACCATTGTGTGAAAAAACGGCTAAAACCGCAAAAAAATCGAGAAAAATCGATAAAAAGGAAAAAAATAAGACAAAAATTTTGCGAAAATATTTATTGTTGAGTTACGGTAGCACTCGTTTGCCGGCTGTGTTTTCGAAAATTCTCCTTGAAATACGGTGGCCTAACTTGTGTGAAAATTCGGCCACAACTCCAATTTTTTTGCACAAGAATAATATCAGACCGCGATCCGGCTCGAATAGTATAGGCGTGATGGGCCTTGTTGAGATCTGCCATCTGCCCGTGCCGGCCCAACTATGGTTTGTTGATTTTTCGTCGATTTTCTGATTCTAGAAAGTTTCTTTTTTTCAGAAAACCTCGTGATTTTTTTCGGCTGAAAAATCGATAAATTGAAAAAAAAAATAAAATTTTAAAATTCAAAGTTTTCGAAAAAATTCAATTCTTTCCGGAAATTTTTTGACCCGTTTCCCAAAATTTTCACATTTTTTCCCGATTTTCGTTTTCTGTTACTTCATATAACTTCCTACCAGACATGAGCGGAATAAAAATTTTGAAAATCCGGAATAAGGAATAAGGAATAAGGAATAGAAAAAACACCCGGAATAAGGAATAAGGAACGAAAGAATTTCCGAACGAAGCAAGATTTCCATTTCAGATGTCTTGAAAAACACTGTTTATTTTAAACGAAGAGAAAAATGGAGGGAAATCTCAAACTAGAATTAAAAAACTAAAAAACAAAATCATAATTGTGAATTATCAGTTTTCCAGGCCATAATTTTTCAAATTGAGTGAACAAAAAGTTAATTTGTCAACAGTGTCGTTATTCAATCGGCTTCTTTTCGGGGTACAGATGAGGCCCGATACACTCGTTTTCTGTTCTGACGAAGAATTCGTCAAACTTGATCCGTTTTTTAGACATTTTTTCTGAAGTATGTAGTAATTGTAAAAACCAAATTTATTTCGAAATTAAAACACTGAGAAAAACGCATAATTTTTCCAAGATTTCCAAAGAAACATTTTTGAAAAACGGTGCAAAGGTGCTCCGCTGAACAAAATGTTACGCGGCAATTTCAGAACTTTTTTCTGTTTCAAAAATTCTGAAAATTTTCAGATAAAGATCTCAAGACGCTAAAGCAGATATTCAATCCTCATTTTGAGTTTATTTTTCAAATTATTCGTTAATTTTTTGATTTTGAAACGTCCATTTTCAGATTGGAAGAAGAAAATTGAAAAATTTTAAATCAGTATTTTAGTTTTTTACCCAAAATAACTTAAAATTCTCACTCAAATTTAAAATTTGTTAGGAAATTTCAGAATTTCCTTTTTTTTCTGTTTCAAAAATTCTATTTTTCTGTTTCAAAAATTCTAAAAAATTTGTGATTATAATTTTCGAGACGATGTGACGTCCAAACATCTAAATTTTGAAATTTTGAGTTTTCTGAACTTTGGACTTCTCAAACTCGAAAATCAGAACTTTAATTTTGAAATTAAACATTTTAATTTTAGCTCTGAAAATCCGAAATTTTCACTTAAAGGAGGCGAGACAGCAAACGTTTCGGGGGACAGTTCGGGGGACGAAATCGCGCCGCGCTTATTTAGACCATCGGTCGTCAGGCGCCTTCGCGCCCCCGTAGCTCAGCCGGTAGCGGCGCTGTACCCCTGAGCTGCCTGTCATGAGTTCAACCCCTCATGGGGGTTCTCTATGCAAAATATCAGGAAAACTTTTTTTTTGGTGTCTGGCCTCCTTTAAAAATTTATGTTACTTTCTGTGAAATTTCAGATTTTTTTCTGTTTCAAACGTGCTGAAAACACATTTTATTGAAATAAGGTTTTTCAAACTTTTCCTTAGTTTTTTGATTTTGAAATTCATTTTTTCAAATTCAGGTTTCAGACAAAAAAATTCGAAAATTGAAACTTTTTTAAAATTACTTTTTTAAAATTCAAAATTCAAACCTCCACCCAAAAAACTGAAATTCTCACTCAAAATTTAAGATTTTTCGGAGATATTTAAGACATTTTTTCCGTTTCAAAAGTTCGGAACATATTTAGACTGAAATTTTCATAACGCTTTCAATTTCATTGGAGCAATAAAATTTGGAAATCGAAACTTTAATTTCAAAGTTTTAACTTTAAAAATAATCTTCTAATTTTCTCCAAAAAAATCTGAAATTTTTACTACAATTTTGAGTCTGAACGGTTAGTTTTTAAAGGTTTCAGATTTTTTTTCCCATTTCAAAAATTCTGAAAATGTTCAGTATGAAATTTTCAAGACGCTTTGGCATTTTTAATTGACTTTTTCGATGAGTGTGAACACCTAAATTGTGCACATTTTGAGATATTATTAAATCTGGGATTTTTAGAATTGATCTCTGATTTTCAGTTTTTGAAATCTCAATATTTCAGATTGAAACCAGAAAAATCAAAAATCAAATTTCATTTTAATTAAATTTTCTTAGTTTTCCTACAAAAAAACTGAAATTCTTAGTCAATATTTAGGTTTTATGAGATTTTCGAAAAAATTTCTGTTTCAAAAATTCTGCGAATTTGCAGATTAAAATTTCAAGACGGTTTGAAATTCATTGAAAAAAGCTACGGGGGCGCGAAGGCGCCTGACGACCGATGGTCTAAATAAGCGCGGCGCGATTTCGTCCCCCGAACTGTCCCCCGAAATTTTTGCTGCCTCGCCTCCTTTAATTTTTATTCTGAAATATCACTATTTCAGAATGGAATTTAAAAAAATTCAAAAATGAAATACTTAATTTTTGCAAAAAATCTGAAAACCTCACTTACTTCTTTACATTTACATACTTCATGACTGATTTATGACAGTTCCGCAACCAATATGATCAAATAGGGGGATTTCGACTGAAATTTTGAGTAGATAAGGATTTTCAGAAGTGCTTCAAAGCATTCCTCCAACATCAAAGAAAAAAAAAGAAAAAAAAAGAAAAAAAAAGAAAAAAGAAAAAAGAAAATGGACAGTGACGGAATCGAACCCCAAACTTGTGATTACTATTCATCCCCACTATCCACTCAGCCACTGTTGCTCATTTTTTCCACAGTGGAGAATGTATAGAGGAAAGGGGGGAAAGTGGAAGGGAAGGAGGAGACCAAAAAAAACAGCATATTTTCAGATGGACTTTTCTCGGCTTCTAGAAATGTGTGCAGAAAACCGAATACACCACGAGAAAGCCCGTATTTGAAACTATAAATAAGCAAATTTAGAAAAAAATTATGAGATGAAGGCTAAACACGTTTTTTTTTGTTTCAAAAATTCTGAAAATTTTAAGATTTAAATTTTGAAACGCTGTCGTATCCTCAATTGGCTTTTTAGATTACTCAAGCTACCAAAATTTTACACATTTTGAGTTTATTTTTCAAATTATTCGTTAATTTTTTGATTTTGAAACGATCATTTTTCTGATGAGCACAAGGCAATTGTAAAGCCAAAACTCATTTTTTCCATCCAAAATTTTTCAAATTTTGGCCTATATATTAAAAATAAGAAATTCCCACTCAAATATTTCTTCGATTATCTGAGATTTTTTCTCTGTTTCAAAAACTCAGGGTTGCAACCGGCCGG